TCCTTCTGTCTCTCCCTGTCTGTCGGGCGAGCTCAAGCATCCTATAGCAAAAAAATCTCTTCAAAAAAAAAAAAAGAAAGAAAAGAAAAGATAGAATTAATTAATTAAATAAATATATATATATATTAAAAAGAGTAATAATAAAATATTTTTTAAATGTCTTTAAATAATAAAATGTTTGATCTCATAAAATAACGAGCTTCCAAGGTAACTGAACGTTGGAATTTGTCCCGCCCCACAGCTGGGGCACGGCCTTTCAGTGGCAGAGGGACGCAGAGTCGTCTTTCCCGCAAGCTGCTGCCTTCCTCTGATTTTCCTAACCCCTTCCTCACCTGGCCCTGCCTGCCCAGCGGAGGAGAGCAATGCTCTTATTTGACCTGTGAGGCCAGGAGAGGGCTTCACGCTTTCTAGGCTTGCGATAATAAAAGTCGACTCTTTCTCTTCTGGAGCCCCTCCTAGGTTCTTAGAAAAAACCCCCCACAAGTCATTGTCGGACTCTCACCTGCGGTTCCCTTGGCCTGAAAGAACCGCTGGCGTGCAGGCCCCGTTTTCTCTCCCACCCACTAGGATTTGGTGGACCTCTGCCAGCCTCTCCCCTGCACAGGCCTGCTCACCCTTTAGGTGGCTTTTGCATCTGATTAGTAATGACCCCAAACAAGCTTTCTCTCACATCCGGTTCCTGGGGAACACAGCCTAACAAATTCTGGTAAAACAGGCTGATTGCTCTCTCCTCTGCTCCACTCATAAGCAGCAACGCAGCCCCTCTCTTGATCTCGAGATTTCCTGAAAAGGAACCAGACCTCCGTGAACTGTGACCTGATAAATTCAGAGAACATATATTAAGCTTTCCAAATGGTCTCATTGAAGCCTCTCTCTTTTGACTTAGGATGAGGGGGAAAATCACGTGCTCACTTCTCTCCAGGAGAGGTGAGCAGGCTTCAAAGCCCACCAGCAGCTCTCTGCAAAAAGATCCTTTCTAAATTCCTCACACGATGGCGGAGAAGCTGCACAGCACCTAGGCCAGATCACCGACATGAATAGCGCCAATGAGAGGAGATGGGTATTGTGCAGCTCGAGGTGGGACGCGCGGAGGCCATCACGGGTTTACGTAGCTCCCGGATTAAGGACCCATCAACAGAATAGAATCATGAGAAAACATCCAACACACCCAAAATGAGACTCATTCTCTTAAAACTTAAAGAAAAAAAGTCAGTATTCTTCAAAAATATTGTCATAATGGACAAAGAGACAAAGAAAGCTCTGAAACTGTTCGGAAGAAAGAGACTGAAGAAGCACAACCACATGCGACTCGTACACTGCAGCCTCTAGTGGAGGAAGAGACATATGCGGTCAAGGCCGCTCTGAGGGCAGGCGACCAAGTGGAAAGTGGATGCTAGATTTTTCTTAAGTACTTTTTCGATGTCCAATTTCCTGACATTGACCTCTGTGCTGTGGTTACATAGTGGGGCTTTTTCTTAGGAAATTCACACTGAAGTCCGCACAGAGCATGAAGTAGGCGCACACTTTTGAGGAATATTTACAAACACGTATGTTGCGATTTCTTTTGAATGCAGCGGCACGAGGCCTGTGGTTGCTGCTCCAGCCACGCAGGACCAGCGGCAGCGGGGGAGGGGGGGTGGACCACCTGCTACGTTCCCACAGTATGGCAATGCGTTTACCCTTAACCCCAAACCTTTCCTCAATGGAGTAACAGGACAGCCAGTGTCGGTGACACTCAAGTGCAGAATGGAGTACAAGGGCTCCTGGTGTCTGTAGGTGGCTATTTGAACAAGCAGCTTGCAAAGACAGAAGAACACACAGATGGGGCGTTGTCGGGACATCTGGGCGGAGTTTGAATAAGGTGCGGTAATGTCCTTCATATCAGAGGCGTTGAAGAAGAGGAAGCTGGGGAAATGAGAGAATAGCATCTTTTGTGGGTTTTTTAAAATACATATTTCAAGACAATAAAGATGTGTTTGTTTTTCAAAAAAAGGCATATGTTGGGGCTGGCAGGTGGCATGGTGGTTAAGGACGCTGGACTCCCACATGGCTGACCGTGGTTCAAGTCCCAGATCTGGAGGCTTGCTTTCTCACCTTCCTTCTCTCTTTCTTTCACTGTCCCTCTCTGATCAAATTAAAATAAATAAAGTTAAATAAAAATAATCCTTTTAAAAAAAAGCATATGTTGAGAGAGAGAGAAAGAGTGAGACTCAACAATAAAGCAAGTTAACATAATATATTAACAGTAAGTCATTCTACATAAAAATAAACAGACTTTCTGGTACCTTTCTTGCAACTTTTCTGTTTTATTTACAAATCATTTTCTCTCCTCTGTCTCTGGTGAGTGAATATTAGCAAATTAAATAATAATAAATAAAGTTAAATAAATTAAAGAAAATGGGACCAAGAGTCATATATCTAAATTGTAATGAATTCTTCTTTTTTTCCTTTTTTTTTTCTTTGTGTGTGTGTGTGTGTGTGTGTGTGTGTGTGGAGAAGTTTTTTTGTATAGGGCTCATGTGCTCACCAGAAAGACAGAGAGAGACGGAGAGACAGAAGGTGAGAAATCACCCTCCAGGGGGGATGGCCACACCGCAATCCCTTCTCCTCCATTCTCCTCTCAGGAACTTGGACATGCATGCACATGTGCCCAGCGTGAGTTTAAGCCACCAGGTCCGGAACTCAAACCACGGTTGACTACGTGCGAGTTCAGCAACATAGCCATTATGCTAACTGCTGGTCCTGAAAAAGAATTATTTATCTGGGATCAATCAGCAAGTGGTGTAGTGGTTAAAGCACTGGACTCTCACATTGCCTACTATGGTTTGGGTCCTGAACCTTGTGGCTTGCTTTCTCAGTTTCTGTTTCTCTCTCTCTGTCTTGGTCTGGTCAAATTAAAAAATTATAATAGCAAATTAATTTAAATAATTATTTTTTAAAATTTATTTAGATTTATTTATTATTATTATTTTCGTTATTTTAATATTTTCAGAGAGAGAAAGGAGGATGTTGGGCATCCCTTCCTTCCTAATACAAATGTAATGTTATCAGGATCATACCTTAAGTATATTTACTGTGGTTTTAAAGTTTTTTTATTTATTTACTTTTTTGGAGAGATTTTTGCTATAGGACATGTGCGCTCAGCAGA